TTCATATTTTTTTATATTACCTTACCTTTTATAGTACTTGAGGCTTGCGTTCACCAACAATTTTCGCAGTTTGCCTACAAAAATTATATACTGAATCCTCTGCAATCGGGTTTTAGACCAGGACATAGTACAATCACAGCTCTTCTCAAGGTAACTGGCGATGTTAGGGCAGGTATGGAGAATGGTAAAATTACTTGCTTGGTCCTCATCGATTTCTCCAATGCTTTTAACACTGTTAGCCATGATATCCTTCTCGCTATTCTATCTCACATTTTAGTGTCTGACGATGCGTTGAAGTGGTTTTCGTCCTATCTTCGGGAGCGCCAGCAGATGGTCCAGTCTGGTGAGTCTTCGTCATCCTGGTATAATCTGGAAACTGGTGTTCCTCAAGGCGGCATTCTTTCTCCTCTTCTTTTTTCCATTTTTATTAATTTTATCACTTGTAAACTTCAGTGTTCGTATCATCTGTACGCTGATGACTTGCAGCTATACACTCAGGCAAATGTTGATAGTTTAAACGATGCAATTGATGCTCTGAACAGAGACTTAATCTCTATAAAGTCTTGGTCGGAAATTTTTGGTGTTGCTGTCAACCCCACAAAATGTCAGGCTGTATTGGTGGGCAGCTCTCGAATGACAACTAGAATCAATAATGGTCTTCGATGGCGTTTCGATCCCATTTAGCCAAAATGTGAAAGATCTTGGGTTATTTATCGACTGTAACTTAAACTGGCAGGCCCAAGTAGCAAATGTTTCGAAAAAAGTTACTGGAGTGCTACGAGCTCTTTACCGCATGAAAAATTTCCTACCTATTAACATTAAGGCAATGCTAATGCAGACCCTAATATTTCCCAAAATCGACTATGGTGATGTATGCTATCTCGACTTGAATGCAGATCTACTTAATAAACTTGACCGTCTTCTGAATAACTGCATTCGATTCGTTTACAATCTACGAAAGTATGATCATGTGTCTGAATACCGATCATTACCCAAATGGATGCCCATTCGGCAACGCAGGCAAATGCGAACTCTAACCACCCTTTTCTCATTACTAGATTCACATAATGCTCCTTCTTATCTTACTCCCCACTTTCAATACTTGTCCACAAGTCACACTAAAATCTACGTTCTGCTTCTAACCGTTTGCTCATGTGTCCTTCTCATAGCTCTGATGTACTTCATTCTTCCTTCTTTATTAAATCTATTCTCCTATGGAACTCTTTTCCTTTAGACCTAAGAATGTCTACTAGTCGGTATGCGTTTAAAACTAAGTTACGCAGCTATCTTTTAGAGCAAGCAGATTCCTTTAATGGTTAATCGTGTATGTATGTATTTAATATATTATATTTTTATTTATGTATGTATGTATGTTTCTATGTACAATATTATATAGTATGTATCTTAAAGTATATATATTAATTAGGTTATCTAGTTTAGTATATTCTTATAATTGTGCACCTGACCACGTATTCTTCTCCACATTACCTTAAGGTTGACTGGCAGGAAATGCCGCGGGCATTAAGTCCGCCTATGTACATTTGTGCATAAAGTATAAATAAATAAATAAAAATAAATAAAAAAAATAAACATAACACATGTGATTACTAAAAACATGATTTTTTTTTATATCAAAAAATAAACCACATATTATTTAATTAATAATCTACAGCAAACCACCGCCCAACTTCAGTAGCAGTTTCTGGAATCAGTTGTTTTTAAGATAACTATTGTTTCTCACATTTGTTAATAAAAAAATAAATATCGCATGTAGATAGTACATATAAAAATATATATTAAGTTAGTTATTTCGCATATTGTGTTTATACAGATGGATTACATTTTAGTTGAATGTAAATAAACTTTATTAAAAAATGTATTGAATTTTCATATAAAATGCGAAGAAACTTTTTCCCCGATAGTTGTGTTGGTTTTCCTGTTTTATGTAAAATTTATGATAATTACTTTCATTACATTCGAAATAAACAGGTGAAAAGCTTGATTTTGGAGAAATATGAACATAAATATATAGTTTGATGTCACAACAACAGGTAATATTTCGAGATCATCATGCCCTAACTGTTGCAGCGACTTCATCTGCGTCAATTATATTCTATCAAGACTTCTACAATTTTTTTACTAACGTATACAATGAATAAAAAAAACTTCTATTAAAATCGGGCGGGAGTTATATGTACATATAGGACTACATTTTGCCCGCGACTTCGTCCACGTGGTATGGGCAGCATATATTTTCCAAAAACGCTGTTATTTTTCGAGCTGATGATTAAATCACCTTGATGTTTAAGTTCGAAGATACAACAACAAAAAAAAAAAACAACAAATATCCTATATGTTTCAGCATTTTATCTTCGAAAACTTTAGAGATATTAATCCAATCCAATTTGAAATACAGATGGAAAAAACAGTTCTGAAGTTTACACAAAACTTAATCGAAAACGAAATCTACACAAAATTCTTTGAAAGAAACGTTAGCGCAGATTAATTAACAATAAACACCAACTAGTATAGCAAAGCTAAAATGTTTTACTACATTTAATTCAAAACTGCACCTTTGCACTGCACTCCCAATTTTATCTCACTAAACTTAAGTAATTGTTTTCTGTTGCTTAGTCACCCTACTTTCTTTAATTTGTTGTAAAACCTAAAAATTAAAAAAAAATATATATGTATCACAAAAACAATGCGACATCAGTTGATTTTGGAATGCAATTTTATTTTCACACATGATGCAGTTGTAACATTTTTGTCACACCCTAAGCCCGAAATCAATCCTTTAGCACGAATCTTCCTTAAACCTTATAATTGTACTGCAGATTAAACTGCGTAATAAAGGATGCCTGCGATCCTTGATCTAGTAATGCACGTATTGGAAATCTATTTCCCCGCTAGCTTCACCTGATGTTGTTGTTTCCTGTATATCTTCCATTCCAACAATATTAGTAGATAAATTAGCATTATCATTAGTTTGTCCCCTTCACCTTGGGATGAAGCAAAGTGTGATGCAGGCGTCTGCATATTTTACAGTGGGTGTGACCCGAACAGTTCCTATCTGAATGATTTATACCCATACAATTAAAGCACAACTCCACGACGAGAATCTACATTACTCTCAATAAGTTTTTACAATAACTTAATTTATGTTCTTCGCCACAAAAAAAGACAAGATAATTTATTTACATGAAAAGTTTTACTAATTGTTTAATTTAGCTCTATTGAAGCTATGATTCAATTATTCAATAGAGGTCTATATGAGCTCTATTGAATTTATTTGGTACTAAAATTTCCAATGCTCTATATCTATTCGTTATAAAATATTTAAATACTTCAAAAGTAGAAAAATTATCTATTCCAATGTTATTACTGACTTATAATTCCCACTGTTTCTTTGCCTCTGGATCTAGTTTAGAAGATATAATTATATAAAATCAATATATCCCTCGTCAATACATCTATTCCCGAATTAGACAAAGCATCCAGGCATTCTGTACTAGTATCAATAAAACCCTTAAGAAAATAAAACCCATTGCCCCATTAAACGATTTAAAATACAACTAGATAAATACTTTTTATTGTTATATCTGCTTATCAAAAGCTCCCATGCTCTCTCATAGTTATCCCCTACTACTGGTATTTGTCGAAGAAGTTGTTCGGCTTCCCCAGATAGATATCCCTTTAAGTAATGAAGTTTCTGAACGTTATCTATATTATCAGCATACTTCCCAGAGAATATAGGAATATTCATTTTAGGTAATTTGAATAAATTATTTACCCCTGACAACTTGTATTTTTTATTTCAGGAACAGAAACAGAAATAGGCATACATTTCAATAAAGCAAATTTTAAATCCGATTTGTATTCAATATATAAATCTTCGTTGAGATCATAAACTTCCTTATCGGAATATTCTTTAACGTAATTATTTATTGAATCATTTCCTAGTAAAATCTGATTAAGCGTACTATTAAATAATTTCCATAAATCCTCTAACGTAATCCTCCCCTCAAGATTCAAGCACATCTTGTTGTACATAGCCTTGCCCCTCTAGTAAAATAAAAACTAAAAAAATTCAAAATAAAAAAAAAACCTTTTTTAGTTAAACGGTTTTATTGTAAACAGAAAAATGTTGCAGATAAATGTACTAAAAGCTAAAAAATCAATGAATGGATACATTCATGGGTGCCAATATGTGTACTTAGTTACATTTTCAAAATAAAGTAACCCATAAACTACTCATTTTATGGAGATATCTATGTTCACATAAAATCCTAACAATGCCATATATTTATAGATAAATCTAAACACAGACGACATTTTTGAAATATACAAATTTTAAACATATTATGCAATTAAAAAAAGTAAAGTATAGCTATGTATAAAAATTCAAACAAATGAATTATTCCCAATACGTCTCTGTTTATTTCTTTAAAGTGTGGTCTCCAGGATCAAATGTACACTCTCTCCTGGTGAGGAGGAGGTGCGCGGGGCGCGGTTATTGTGTCTTGACGCGTTCATTTACGATCCGTGCTTTCGATCAAATTAAAAATAATATAATAGTCTCTAACCCTTGAAACCTACAACAGTTTTAAGTTCGAGTTATTCCCTTAATTTTGGTGCATAAATCAACTCAATCAGTGCAGTGGCTGCGATAAAATCAGTGTTTTAATATTTTTTTTGCCGGTGATCGTTACCACTTTGTCAGTTATTGACACTCAACAGCTGTTTAAGGTCACGGACCAGTGGTCATCGAGTTCGCAAAAGCAATACTGAATTGAAAATTCACCGCTGAACTGTAGCGTCAAGTGGCGTAAAGGATAACCGTTTGATCGTTAACGGAATTCTGTGGTTCGATCCTCTTCACAAACAACTTATTTTTTATTTTTATTTTTTTTTTCTTTCTGGGAAACTTTTTGCTGAACCACTTAAATTTTATACATACTTTTTTTATTATCGTTATTTGTTTGTTTTAAATTTGAAAAATGTCATCAAAAAATTGTGCCGGATGTCTGCAAGTTATCAAGAGCAGACAGTTTCTATGTTGCTGCAGTTGTGGGGAGAGTTACGACCTACTCTGTGCCAATGTATCGGAACAGAGATATCGCAATACTCTTACGGGGGAGCACCGACGAAGATGGAAATGCGATGAGTGTAGGAACCGTGAGCCCAAAAATAACAACAGTGACACACCGGCGCGAGGACATGATGATGACAATATTACACGCCGACGAGGAGCATCAACTATAAGTCCTGTAGAGGGTAGCAGCCCGGATACAGTGCCTGAATCATCGAGCAAAACATTAACTGCGGTTTCCGGAAAGTTAGATGACCTGGTGGAGGAGATACGAATGTTCCGCAGTGAAATGTCAGAGACGCGTCATCGGGTTCTAACATTCGATGAGAAGCTGTGTGGACTGTTGACGCAGGTGGAGAGTTGCGTGAGCGAGGTAAGAGAGCTGCGTGCGCGCGTCGAGAAGCTCGAAAATTGCAGCAGGTCCACCACCAATTTAGACAGTACGCATGGCTCCCTAGTCAACACGATCGAAACGTTGAAGACTGAGCTGAATGAGCGCGACCAGGAACTTCTTTTAAATGATATTGAGGTCACTTGCGTGCCAGAGCAGCGGGGAGAGAGTCTGCAACACATCGTCTTGACCTTAGCCTCTAAGGTTGGCGTACAACTGGGTCAACAGGACATAGTCTGCGCGACGCGCGTTGGCCGCCCTCCGGGGCCTGGCGTGGGCGGCGCGGCGCAGCGACCGCGTCCCATCGTCGTCCGTCTGGTGCGTCGTGCGATGCGCGATGAATTGCTGCGTGCTGCTCGTGTTCGTCGCGGAGTCACGACCGAGGGGGTCGATCTGCCTGGTCCGCCGCGCCGCTTCTACATCAATGAGCGCCTAACTCGAGCAAATCGTTCGTTGTTTAGACGAGCGCGTGAGGTCGGCGAGCGGGCGAACTGGCGCTACGTTTGGACGAGGGACGGCAAGATCTTCGCGCGGCAATCCCCGGGGGATGGCGTTCCACGTCATCGTCTCCGCACTGAAGAAGATCTGGATCGAATTTTTGGGTCTTGCGCCGTTGGTTCGTCTGCAGTCGCTGTGGACACTCGTGTCTGAGACTGGTGCAATGTGGGGACATTAAGTTTATAGATTTAGTAAGGCTTTTATATATTATTTTTCAATTGTTTGCAGATATGTATAGTAACTTGTGTGATCGGAACTTAACTTTTGTGTTTAGGATAGTAATTATTAATTTTTATAACTATATTTATTTGCACATATGTATTATACATGATGAAATTACTATGGCATGGTATATATATGTATACGCTCGGCATAGGAACATGGTGCAGTATCCTCAAGTTGGTCATTGTTATTTTGCGATAATAAATGGTTAATAATACGTTATTTACTGTTGGATTCTTTAACGCCGGGTCCTTGGGTACGGGGCACGAGGAGTTTATAGTTGCTGCTGAAGAATTAGATCCAGATATACTAGCCATAAATGAGACCTGGTTAAGGGAGGGACAAGCTGACAAAGCACCGATGCTAACAAACTATAAGCTCTTACATAAACCCAGGCCTGAATGCATTCGTGACGGACGCGGTGGAGGAGTGGGATTTTATATTCGCAAGGGAACAAATGCACATGTATATCCTCATCCAATCAGTGCTGCAGCAGTCGAACAGATGTGGTTACAGGTACGCTTATGTAATCAGAATATTTTCGTTGGAACTGCTTACCGACCACCTCGACAGGATAGGCATGTATTTCTGGACGCGATATCCGAGTCTATCGCCTCTCAAAATATTTTGATTGATCAATTTAACATAGATCTTGATTCCATTAACTGGGGTTATTTCTTAAAGTCAAGTGATGGAGTTGATGACTTAGTTGAAAATCTTTCATCTGTCATCACAGCTTTATTCGATTTGCATGCTCCTATTACAACTAAAAGATTTAAGGCTCCTCCCCACCCTTGGATTACAGAAACTGTCAAGAGTATGATGAAATTGAGAAACAAGTACAATGAACGGTATAAAAAACACAAAACGCAGGTGTTTAAAGACAGTTACCTCACCATGAAAAATTTAGTAAATAAGGCCATTGAATTTGAAAAAAGAAGTTACTTTGAACAAAAAATAAATAATAACTTGGGTAATTCCAGGAAGCTTTGGTACAACTTGAAGCGGAGCATATTACCTTGCAAGGGAGCCGCAGCAGATCTGCCATCGAGTTTTGATGATCCTGATGCTATCAACAGGTGCTTTCTTGATGTTCCTGGTACAAATTATGTGTCCCTTTCGTGTCTGACTCACTATGAACATCACAGACATAGCACAGCCACCTTCAGTCTGAAACCTGTTGGGGAGGATGACGTGCTTAAAGCAATTAAGGGGCTGAAGTCTAATGCGGAAGGAGATGACCGTGTATCTTTGGAAATGTTGCTAATGACTTTGCCACAATCACTAAAAGCAATTACCAGCATAGTGAACCGATCACTCACTTCTTGTATCTTTCCCAGGAGCTGGAAACGGGCGGTGGTTAGGCCATTACCCAAAAAGTCACATCCTGTGTCAGTGCAGGATCTCAGGCCTATTAGCCTACTTCCATGTATGTCCAAGATTTTGGAGAGAATAGTCTGTGATCAACTCACCAAATATATTGAAGTTCATAACATTCTCCCACAGTTGCAATCGGGATTCCGTAAGGGTCATGGTACAGCCACCGCTCTTTCAGACGTAGTAGATAATCTTCTGGCTGCCCAGGATCTTGGTAGGGTTAGTGTGCTGTTGCTACTGGACTATTCCCGTGCCTTCGATTGCATAAATACAACTTTGCTTCTTTCAAAACTGGCATTCTACGGCTTGGATCCAAACGCAGTAAGATGGTTCCACAGTTATTTAACCGATAGAGAACAATATGTGGAGCTATCAGCGGCAAATGGTACGAAATTGCGATCCAGTTCTCTTCCGGTTACCAGAGGCGTTCCGCAGGGCTCTATACTTGGTCCAATTCTCTTCATTTTGTACAGTGCGGATGTGATAGGTAGCATACAAGAGTGTAATTATCATCTATATGCAGATGACATACAGATTTATTACTCTTTCAAGCCATCTGACACTGCTACCGCTGAAAGAAAAGTGAATGAGGATTTAGTAAGAATTTCAGCCTGGTCCCAATCAAATTGTCTTGTATTAAATCCACGTAAATCCAAACTCTTGCTTTTTGGTAGCAAAAATAATATTGGAAAGATCAACAATACATCCTTGAATATCCACATAGGGGGAGTAACTCTGGAACGGGTTGACAATGCCAAGAGCTTGGGACTCACACTTGACAGCCATCTAAAATTTGAGTCTCATATCATGGAGTGTGCACGCAGTAGTTATTACAGGTTGAAATTGTTGTACAACATAAGACAATACTTGTCCGAGCAGCTAAGAATTATATTATATGAGTCATTGGTACTATCTAAGTTTAATTACTGCGACACTGTTTATGGCCCATGCTTAATGAAAAAGACAGCTAGAGTCATTCAGAGAGTGCAAAATGCATGTGCTCGCTTTTGTTTTCATATCCCGCCGAGAACACATGTCACACCATTTTTGAACTCTTCAAACATACTAAAAATGGAATCACGCAGGAGAGTCCATTTGGCCGCTATGTTGTTCAGCATAATTAATATGGGAAAGCCAAAATACCTTTCAGTTAAGCTGGATCGGGCTCAAGATCATAGTAGGTACTTGAAAAGATCCTGCAGCTATATCTTTCGAACTCCAAAACATAATACTGTGGCTTTTCGGGGTTCCTTCAGATTTGCGGCCTCAAAGTGTTGGAATGATCTTCCTCCACCGTTGAGGGATCTACGGACAAAGAAAGCATTAACGACTGGCTTTAAATTACACTTATTAAGTCTCCAAAAGTCGCAGTTGTAAAAAATCATATTGTGCCTACCTTGGGTTTAAACCCCATATATGTGATTGGCGGATGACGATGAACCGACGCTTGAATGGGCACTTGCACATGATTCTATGTATTTCTTTTTGTATTTGTTCCGCAGCTTTTGGTATACAGTTTTTCTAGTAAATAGCTTTCATTATTTCTGAGTGACGAAAACTAACAACACTGATTAAATGAAATGCACCTTTTTCTGTTTATTGTTTTCATTGTGTGTGATACAGGTGTGTAATGGTGACTAATAAGTTGCCATATGTCTATTGTATTGTTTGCACGTATTCATAACATCACATTAATAACTGGTAAATTTTTGTCAACCAATAACACTGGGCAGTTCCTTGTACATTATAATGACATGTCTGACATCGTCGACCACAAGTGATGCACTGTATTTATTGTTTATAATCTGTACTTTTTTTTTTTTGGTTAATGCACTGGCTTTAACTAAAGAAGTTAATTATTTAATTAAGAAGCTACCTATCTTGTTTTGATGGGTGACTGACGCTGACGCCTAAACCATAGATATATATACTTTTTCTTTCTTGTATATGGTAAAAGCCAAGGAGTCTTACCCCATACAGCCATCTCTGATTTTTATTGCTGAGGTGTATTAGTACTAAACATAAGTTTGCTTTCTCTAATTCATCATGTTATTATTATTATTATCTTATATATTTCATTATATCTATTTTCATTTCTCCGGTAAAATATTGTTCCGCGTACCGAACAGGCTCTGTCAGAATATCAGCGTTGATGTGGCGCTTTCCGTGTCGCATCAACACCAGCTGAGGCAGAGTCCTGGTTGACCTCACTTTCTTTCTCTTTTATTCATTATGTACCATATTGTTTATTTTGTATCTTTATTGTGTTTTATGTGTTCCTAATAATGTATTATCTTGTTTGTGTCTTTGTGAGGTCAATAAATGTTTCTTCTTCTTCTTCTTCTTCTTCTCCTTCCCAGGGCTTCATTACTATCTTTATGCCAAACGTCTAAGGATTATTAAGAAAGACAAGGTACTGCTGCTCTGGTAACAAAAGATTATAAAAATATTACAACTGATTGTTAATCAACGTCATAATTTTGGTAAAAAAATATTACAACTGATTGTTAATCAACGTCATAATTTTGATACAAATATGATTTGATTGTTATTAATTTAGACAGATAGGTTTTTTATATTGTTATTGTTTTTTTCACAGAAAGTTAAACATTTAACGGCACTCCGCCTTACAGTAAATTTTTACCCCCAGGTTTTTGACAGCTTGACTGAAGCGAATATCTATATCATCGAAAACAACTTTCGGAAGTGCCTGAAAGTCAATGCTAGGGAGCAATCTGGAGCTACCCGTTATCATTATTTGAGTATTTACAGGGTTGATACTCAAACCAAAAGCTTTACGCCATTTTTCATTACGTTGAAAGTTGACATTAATATTTACTACTGCTTCAGTTAATTTAGAGAATGGTGCATCACAGTAAATCTGGAGATCGTCTGCATATAGGTGATAGGATCACGAATGATTTTGAGAAATAGAATTTATAAAGATTGTAAATAAAAAGGGAGACAATACGCCGCCTTAAGGTACGCCAGCTTTCGTGTCACACCATTACGAGAACTTCTAATCAAGGCGAACTCGCTGCCTACGCCCATAAAGATAGCTCTGAAACCAACCAATGAACGTTGGAGATATATTAAGTAAGCGCAGCAAGTCAAGAAGTACGTTAAAATCAACCGTGTTAAATGCATTACTGAAGTATGATAATGTTAGTACCGTCAAGTGACCATTTTCCATCGCAAGACTAAAATCATTGGTAATTTTTACTAGCGTTGAGGTCGTGATGTGGCCGGGCCGGAAGCCGGACTGGAGAGGATTCATAAGGTTGTGGCGAGAAATAAATTTACTAACCTGTTGATGAACTAGACGCTCCAAGACTTTAGGTAGGAAAGGAAGAATAGAAATAGGACGAAATTCATTAAGAATTTTGGGATCGCTATCTTTAGGTAATGGAATTATTTGAGCTTCTTTCCAAGATGAGTGGAAGACGGAATTAGAAATAGAGCTATTGAAGAGAAAAGTAAAGACAGGTAGGATAGTGTCAAGGAATGGTACTAAAATATTTCAGCTTATACCGTCACTACCACCCGCATTGGAA